AAAAAAAAAAAAAAAAGCCCAATTAGTAATAGCACATAACACAGATAACTGCATTCATAGTAAGAGAAATGCATTTTTTTTAAAAGATAGAGACCAGTGTCTCACTATGTTCCCAGGCTGGTATCAAACTCCTGGTCTCAAGCAATCCTCCCATCATCTCAGCCTTACAAAGTGCTAGGATTGTGGGCGTGACCCACTGCACCCAGCCAAAAGTGTTACTTTTATATAACCTTCAAGAGTGCAGAGAAAATTCAGTGCCAACTGGACATTTAGTTATCAGAGTTCTAGGAGAAACACGAGCCTCTGAAGTGGGGAATATTTCAAACAATTGCCCTTGCCCCTCCTTAAGGTCTTTATTCTAAAGTCCCCTCCCCAAAAAGGCTGCTCTGACACCCTCACTTGAAATACAGACACCCGACACTGCCCGCCTCACTCCCTCTCCCTTTGTGTTCTTAATGCTTTACCTTTCAGCATTCTAGATGTTTCAGTTGTTTAGTTTTTCTATTAGGACATAAAAGACTGGTCTGGTGTGTCACCGATTGCCTACAGTAACAGGCACATAGGAGAATCTCAATCACTATTTGTTGAATGAACCAATAAATCGAACTTTTGCAACAGAACCAATGTCTATCAGATCAAAGTTCTTCAACAGCCTAAACAGAAATGTGAGTTCTGGCAGCTCACAAAGTCCATATGCCTGGCTTAAAAACCCATAATCACAATCTAACTGAATAATAGGAAGCTGGGCAAGAGCCACTTCATTTTGACGTAAAGCCTGGGGTCTTGTTTCAAAGCACCATGCTTCTTACAACAGTGCCCAAGGGGGCCTGAGGGCCCAAAGGATAGGGAGAGTTTCTAACTTGCCTCGATGAACTGGCAGTTCTGAAAGGAGTCATCCTAGCAAATTTGGGATTCAGCAGAAAATTCTTTTTGTCCTTCACCAGTGGCTAATCTCTATTCTTTCGCCTCGGTGAATAATTCCGAAAGCATAGTGTATGTGACCTGCTATATAAAGGTCCACCTCTTCCCTCCACCTCTAGTTTTCTAAATCAGTTATGATTCTACAATAAGAATCTGCGTGACATGAATGAAATGCCCCCTAATTATTATTCTGAGTCTTGTTCTCACATAGTAATGATGATTACAAAGAGGGAGTAATTTTGCTGAATCCAAATTAATTTCAGAATATTTCCTCACAGTTTTACTTTTTAGTAATAATTTAAAAATTATCAGTTTCTTTTATTGCCATTTGCTTCTTTGCCTAATTTGAATGTAAGAAAAGTAAAATAAAAGATCTTTTTCAGTTTTTAGTTAACTGGCTTCTTGTTAACCAAGATGTGACTACGTATCACTGTCTTCTGATATTAATGAATACTTTAGACTTGCCACATAAACATCATTTCAGATTCCACCACAAGCCCTAGACACAACTGAGCACACTGCAATTCTGAATTCTCCCATACCTTTCTCCACAGTTAAGTCTCTTGCTTGCCCCCACCATTGCCTGATGCAGCCCCAGCAACTTCTACCATTATCTATTTGACAGATACCTTCAAGTATCTTTCTGTTATCTCATTCTACTGAATTGTGGCATCAAAGGTGGAAAGAAATATCCTTCAAAAGAAAGGGGAAGGAAAATTTGAAATGCAGATTGCCGGAGAAAAGGGCTGGATAGAAGGACAGAGGTTGGGGGTGGGTGGAGGAAGCTGTACACTGTGCCTACCACCTGCCCACTGCTGAACATAGCAACCATCTGGTTGTAAAAGCAGGTCCAGCTACCCCCACTGTCATTCAAGGACTCAAAAGGCAGCACTTCCAGAGTCCTCACCATTAGCTGAAGGATTTGGCATTCATCAACCTAAATCCTTCCTTTCACCCTCTTCTTATCCTCATTTTTCAGAAAGGAATCCCAAGCACAGAGAAAAGAAGCCTACGCAAGGTCTACCAGTTCACACAACGCAGAACCATATTCTGCCGCAAGGTCTGTCTTCTGCATCTTCACACATCCCAAAGAGAGGAAGCAGACCGGCCTCACCTGGGAGTCAGGGAGGGGAGCGGAAAGCCTGGCAGGATGGAGCAGAGGCAGAGACCTCACGGATCCGCAGGAAGGAGAACTGAGAAATGAAATGAAGTCTCTAGATTATAAAACAGAAGGATTTTGTGGCAAGGCGGGCCTAAAAGGGCTTTACACTGGGAATGACATAGTCATTTTTGCATTTTTAAATGATCCACTCTGGCTACAGAGTGAAAGGAGAGGCTGACAGAGCACTGTTCTAGTGCCCTGGGTGAGAAGCAAACTTAGGGTGAAGTAGGTTGGTGGCAGAGGGATAAAGGACAGTGAGAAGGATTGGAGATGTTTTTAAGAACTAGGACGTGATGACTGGTTGGATATGAGCATTTTTCCTCTCTGAAAAATTAGTATAAGATGAGGGTTAGTTGACCAACTCAACCTCAGAACTGGCCCTCCTGGGTTAGGCATTCACCATCTTAAATCCTCCCTTTAAGCCCTGCCATCTGGCTGTTTGACCTTGCACAAGTCACTCCATCTCTCTGTGCCCAGTTTCTTCATCTGTAAAATGGGAATAAAAACAATCCCTCCCTCATGGAATTATCAGTAAACCATGTGCAAAGCATCTGGTACAATGTCCAGTGCTGAGCACACAAGAAATATTAACTATCATCTTTATTACTATTGTTACCATTACAGGAAAGGCCCATGTCTCTGGCTAGCGTCAAAAGGTTCACACTGCAGTCTCTCATTGAGCTAAGAGACAGAAGAGGAAAGATGCTCTGCGGAGAAAGGTAACTTTGGTTTTTAGACATGTTGGGTTTGCTGGAGGCTAGGACACATTTCCACGGATGCACGTGGTGTGATGGAGAACACAGGAGTTGAGGGTGTGTGGGACATGAAGGCTGAGTGAAGGGACTCAGCTGGGCAGAGAAGTGAGGGCATCAGGGCCTGATAGATGAGAAGCGGGTAGAGGAAGAAGCCAGAGACTCTAGGTTCTGGAAATCTGGAGAAGAAATATCCAAGCACCCATGTGTCTGGTGCAAGATCAGACTCTGTCCATGCTATCAGCATGCTCTAGAGCTAGGGGTACCCCAAAGACAAAATTTAAAAAAAAACCAGAGTTGGGGTACCTGCCCTATGAACTACAGTGGGGCTTGCCATGGACTCTAATAGACATATGATGGGAGCCACCTAGGTAATTTAAACTTCTCTAGTTGCCACATTAAAAAAGGAATAGGTAAAATAAATTTTAAAAACATTTTACTTGACTCAATGTATCTAAAATATTATACACATATGATCAACACAAGAAATTAGTAACATATTTTACATTTTTTCTCTACTGTCCTTTTGGAACCTGATGTGACAGCACAGCTACAGAGTGCTCACACTTCCTCTGAAACAAGGTATTTCCATAGCACATGCACATTCCTGGCTTTCGGGGGCAGTTCCAATTTCAAAGGTTCATCCTCCCTGGTCCCCAAGGGTACTGTCCCGGTGGGATCTCCATCCTGACTGGGATTCAGGAAGCAGCTATTCTGGCCTCCTTGCCCACTGTACCCACTGCTGTTCTCACTATATTCACTGTGGCCACTCATGGTCCATCTTCATAAATATAAACTCAGCTAAAGCTGCCAGCAGGTTTCAGGTTCACAGAGTAGTCCTGATCTCAAACCACACACCAACCCCTTGTCAGTAATCGAAGTGAGAGGAGCCTTTCCGAGTCCTCCACACATGCACCAACTGCACACACCGCAACAGAGGGGCTAGATGTGTACAGTCTACCGTCTAATGAGAAGCCTGCCTACGAGATGTGGGGAAGGCATGCTGCCCCGCCCTGAAACCTCCCATACAAAGAACCTCCAGGAGGCAGCTTTGCCCTAATCTCACAGTACCCTAGGGGCCCTCACTTGCTCCTGAAACCCTGCCCCTAACTCATTGAGGTCAGAGCCTCCTCTATCTGCCAGGCACAGCCAGAGGGTTGTGATGAAGTGCCATTTATCCCATCAGTCCACATCCCTTCTCCTCAAGCACCTGCATCTTTTAAGATTCCTTCTGGCCAAAGTGATAAGATAGAGAGTTATCAGTGAAAAGGGACCTTTCTGTATGAAGATAGCTGCAAATTCCACCCAAGGGACAAAGGGGTGGCGGCTTAGGCCTTCCTTTAGGAGAGGAATGAAATACACTTATGCTAAAACTGCTATTGGCACAGATGTGTACACACTTCATGGTAGCCTGTGTTTTTAAAGTTTCTGATACAAACTATTTATCAAAGTTTTCTGTTCACACAGTTTACAAAATGCTGAGACGGAGGTATTACTAAAATATAAAGCCGTGTTTTTGAAAAAGGATTTTTGTACTTGTTTTTCTTAAAATCAATGCATTAACACTGGAATTCCTTTTCAGCTTAGTGTTTTTAATGTTTTAATTAAAAAATACACACACACACACACACACACACACACACAAACGATTGCTCTTTATCTCCAACATTTCAAAGAGATGTGCCAACATCTGAGGCTGCTCTTAGGATGATAAATTACACATTTTTTTTAAATTACAAATTAACAATGACCCCTATTGCCTCTTAATCCTGTAAATACCACCATCCAAACTGGCTTTAATATATAATGATTTCTCAGGAAATCATGTCTAAATAAGGGCTTTTCATCAGATTTCCTCATAACATACAATATGCATTTATCTATATGAGAAGCAAAAAAAAAAAAAAATTAGTGTGCCAACTTTAGGCTTGTTTCTTCAAATTATATATTCATAATTTTTCAATGTGGTGGAACAAAGTATCTCCTGTTCTTAAAAAGAGGTGCAAGCTGGGTGTGGTGGCACATGTCTGTAGTCCGAACTACTCGGGAGGTCGAGGCAAGACTGCTTGGGCTTAGGAGTTCAACACAAGTCTCTGCAACACAGTGAAACCCCCATCTAAGAAAAACAAATGGAAGAAAGACAAAAAGAGGCAGTCTTGCCTTGTTTAAGGCTGTCACCAAAACATACTAGCATGGCAGGATATCTGGGGACAGGGTAAGGGGTCACAGGAACAATGGTCATGGATAGGCAGGACTGGACACATGCAGGCACCACCAAAGCCTGACACCTAAACACCCTTCCTGACATCTAATATTTCAGAAACAAAACAGAACTGGATTTCCTTACACTTGCTTTGAGTCACATACAGAAGTGGTGGGTGCACCCTATGATGCTTAGGGTTTCTTAAGGCCTCCCTCTGTGCCTGGTGGTATAGACATTTATTTCTTCTCTTAAGGCACTCTGAGTGCCTACTCTGTGCTGCGCACATGCTAAGAACTGGACACAGAAAGATGCATCAGAGAACTGCCCCGTCTCAAGCAGCTCAAAGTCCAATGAGAGCTCCTAGTCTCAAACGTTTTTAAAAGGAGGAAAGAGAAAAAGATATTTTACATGAAAACCTACACTCAACTGACTGAACAATGAAATAATTCTCTTTATACTCAAGTGATACCAAGAGCTCCCCTAAGCTTTCACAGTAAGTGGCAGATGAAAAGTTCCCACCTTGGCTGGGCGCAGTCGCTCATGCCTGTAATCCCAGCACTTTGGGAGGCCGATGTGGGTGGATCACGAGGTCAGGAGTTCCAGACTAGTCTGGTCAACATACTGAAACCCCCGTCTCTACTAAAAATACAAAAAATTAGCCTGGTGTGGTAGTGTGAGCCTGTAATCCCAGCAACCTGGGAGGCTGAGGCAGGAGAATTGTGTGAACCCAGGAGGCAGAGGTTGCAGTGAGCCAAGATCGGCCATTGCACTCCAGCTCAGGCAACAGTGCAAGACTCCATTCCCCCCTCCCCCAAAAAAGGTTGCCCCCCTAACTGCTCTCCTCCACTGTACAAACGTACTCAAAATCCCAAATCACTACAGCCCACAGTTGTAGGTTTACCTCTCTACATACGAATATTTCAGATGTTTCTCCGCACTAAGCTGGAAGCCCCAGCGGAAACAGGGACCATGTTTCCTTGTGCATGGCAATGGAACCCCAGGGCCTAGTCCAGAATGAGGGCTCAACAAATGTTTATGGAAGGGATGAAGATTTATCTTAGAGAAATCTAAAACATTTTAGACCTTACAAGGTCCTTGCGTCTAAACATTCCTCCAATTATAACTAAAAAACGAGGAGCTATAGAAAACTATTTAAATTTTGTTTCCAAAAACATTCATTTTGGTTTCTTAAAAAATAATTAATTACTTAACAGACCACTGGCTGGTGTGGACTGTTGAACACAGTGCTGTAACTTCCTGCTTACAGCATGTGAGATACGTCTGAAAGTTTTGCTTTCCGTTGTAAAAGCACTGGTGACTGCTTGACTCGCTTAAAGCAAATAATGGGGTTTTTTTGGGGTAAAAATAAATAAAATAAATAGTATAAATGCCTAATAACAAAATAGGCATATTTTTGGCTACAATATTTTTTTTTCCAAGGACAAATCTCCAGCTTATTTTACTGCCTGAGCCGAAACAGATGCTCACACTAAGTTGGTGGCGGAGCAGACTCAAAGATTCCAATAATGACATGTATAGTGTGTGTCAACAAGAGAACAAGTGTACCACAAATCTGCGAACGAGTCCCCAGCTAAGGTGAAATCTTGACAGCGCTACTCTGAGGTGAACTATCCCCTCCCTCCTCTGGGGTTCAGAGTGGCCCAGAGAGGCGGTGGTGACAGGCGCTCTGCGGCCCGGCTGTGTCCCCCTCGGCGCTCCGGGACCCCGCGAGTGGAGAAGGAGAGGGAGGGAAGTGGCCGAGTAGGGCCCTACCTGCCAGCCTCCAGCGCTCAGGGTACGCCAGCCCCAGGAGCTTCCGGGCCTCCGAGAGTCCGGCCGCTGCCGGGCGCAGCCGCCTGTCGTCCCCGGGAGGCGCCGCCGGCCCGCGCCGCCAGGCCTCGCTCCCCGCCCAGGCAGTGGCTGCGGGACGGCCCGGGAACCCTGCGCGCGGGAGCCGAGGCGCGCCCGGCCCGGCGAACGCCCCGCACCTGCCAGGGGCCGGAGCCCAAAGCCCCAGGAGCCGCGCGAGGCCAGCGCCGCCCCGCGAACCGCCCAGACCCCCGCCCCAGCAGCAGCTCCTCCAGCGGCGCGGGGCTCCAAAGCCCCCGAGCAGCGCCTGCCCCGCGCCCCACAGCCGCGCCGGCCTCAGGCCAGCGAGAGGCGACAGGGACCCGGGGGCGCGGCCGGCCGGGGCCCACACGCAGGCTACCGGCAGGAGCCGCCCTGGAGCGGCCGGGCCCCATGGCGGGAGCAGCCGCAGCTGCCAAGCAGGGGGGCAGCGCATGGAGCCGCGTCCGACCGGTACGCCTCAGCCAGCCGGCCAGGAGCGCGCAAAGCCGTAGGACCCTCCAGGCCCGGCCCCGAGTAAAGGGCGTGGACGCGGTGGCACCCGCCCCTCCCCGCCGGCTGTCACCCGCCTTATCGTGCCGGCAGGCTCGGGCCGCGCGGGTCCCATCCTCGTCCGCGCGGTGACGCGCCCCTCCACGCCACCCCGGGGACTGCGACCCTGACCTTGCACGCCACCCTTCCCAGCGCCCCCCACCAACTCGGGTGCCCTCCCTGAAGCGCCCCCAACTGCCCGCTAGCGGAAGAGCGCCGGGCGCGTAGCCCGGGACGATGTCCCGGAAGCCTTGGAGCACAGCTGCGCCTGCGTACTGCGCGCGGGGAACTTTTTTGCGCTTCACCGTCCCCTCTGGTCTGAACTTGGAAGCGGCACGAGCTCTTTCTCACGCTGGCAGACCTGCGGAGCGCGCAGACGCGACCATACGATGGCCGGCACAAGGATGGGGCGGGAGGACAGCTTTCTGGATACGGCGTGGGGCGGGTCCGCAGCCCGGGAGACCTGGGCTGGAGCGGCCCTGTCACCCGTTTCGCTGCCAAGCACAGGGCTGAGGTGCGGAGGGACTACTGAGAGGACTTCAATGCGAGTCAGTTCACCTGTGGACGGCGTGTGGAGGAGGTGGTTGGCGAATAGTGAAATATACATAACTTTGAGAAGGGAAGAGATCGTTTCTTAACGAGAGCAGAGATTTGAAGGCAGACGCGGTGGAGGCATTCCCGCTGCCCGAAGTGCAGAAGACCAATCAGAATGCAATGTATCTTAATACACGTGCAAGGAAAGACAGGAGAGGACATTAAAATTGGGACAGTTTATGGAGACTTCATGGCTGGGGGAATCTGTACCTCGGGCACAGTGAGTCGTGGTTGAAGAAGGTGGGTAGATTTTTGTAGACTCGTAAGTATTTTTCCTGGACCTGGACAGGGTACTGGCCTCCCTTTCAAATGTTATAGGTTCACAAAACAAAAAACCTCAATAATCAACATAAACATTTTAGTGCAATTTTTTTTTTTTTTTTTGAGACGGAGTTTCGCTCTTGTTGCCCAGGCTGGAGTGCAATGGCGCGATCTTGCCTCACCGCAACCTCCGCCTCCCGGATTTAAGTGGTCCTTCTGTCTCAGCCTCCCGAGTAGCTGGGATTACAGGCATGCGCCACCACTCCCGGCTAATTCTGTATTTTTAGTAGAGATGGGGTTTCTTCTTGTTTGTCAGGCTGGTCTCGAACTCCCGACCTCAGGTGATTTGCCCACTTGAGGAGTCTGAGGCAGGATAATCGCTTGAATCCAGGAGGTGGAGGCTGCAGTAAGCTGAGATCACGTCACTGCACTCCAGCCTGGGCAACACAGCAAGACTGTGTCTCAAAAAACAAAGAGGAGTTAGCAAGATGCATGATGAAAACTATCCCACTTTGGCCTCTCAAAGTGCTGGGATTACAGGCGTGAGCCACCGCGCCTGGCTAGTGCAGTATTTTTAAAAATCAAAATTAATGTAAAAAATCCATAATGAACAAAATATCAAAATTTTAAATTCAGTATCTACTTCTGACCTTTCACAATCCTGCCTTACAATCCTGTCTCTCTCTCTCGCCCTAATCCCAGCCCTGGAAACTGTATTTACAAAAACTGACAGCAACTGTTCTTCGTTTGGCAGCTGGAAAATGGGAAAGCGAAAGTAAGATGAAGGTTAGATTTGGGTTAAAATTGTTACTTTTTCTCCAACTGGGAGGGTATCAATCCTTGATGTTTCTTTAGTTGGGCTCAAAAAGGAGTAGTGGCTGGTGCGGTGGCTTATGCCTGTAATCCCAACATTTTGGGAGGCAAGGCAGGTGGATCACCCGAGGTCTGGAGTTCGAGACCAGCCTGGCTAACATGGTGAAACTCTGTCTCTACTAAAAATACAAAAATTAGCCAGGTTTGGTGGTGCATGCTGTAGTCTCAGTTACTCGGGAGGCTGAGGCAGGAGAATCGCTTGAATCCAGGAGGCGGAGGCTGCAGTGAGCTGAGATCACATCACTGTACTCCAGCCTGGCAACAGAGGGAGACGTCGTCTCATTAAAAAAAAAAAAAAATGTGCTTGTGAAGTGATCAGTAAGCATGTAATCCTCTAAAGTCCAACATCTTAAACCCAGGGTACATGGAGTCCCACCTCCCCCCCACCTCACTTTCCTGCCTTCAGAATGACTACAATTTAAGCTAGTCTCTCATCAGTGTGGATGTTCTAGACTTGAAGGTGTAGTGTGAAATCAACTCCACTGATATTTATGAGTAAGCATATTCCTTTTAGCAAATATGTTATGCAGTGACTTCTGAAAAGAAGTGGGATCATTCCTCATCATGCAGCCTGCTGTCTCTTCTTTGAGCCCAGCTGAAGAAACATCAGTGAACATCACCCTCCCAGTTAGAGAGAAAGTGACAATTTTAACCCAGACCTAAGCTTCATCTTTCTCTTACCCACTTTCCAGAAAACACCTGCTGCTGCAAGGGCCAGGAAATGCCAGACTGGCCTTCCCTTCCTGCCTTCCCCAGCGTGGCATCCCACTGGCTTTTTCTGCCATTGCTCTCTAGGGCCTCCAGTCAGTAGAAAAATAACTCAAGTGTAGCTGATTAAAAAATAAAATTTGGCCAGGTGTGGTGGCTCACCCCTGTAATTCCAACAGTTTGGGAGGGTGATGTAGGAAGATTATTTGAGGCCAGGAGTTTAAGCCTGTGCAATGGGAGAATCTACCTCTATACAAAATAAAAAAGTAAAAATTAGCTGGGTGTGGTGGTGTGTGTGCCTGTAGTCCCAGATACTTGGGAGGCTAAAGTGGAAGGATTCCCTGAGCCTGGGAGGTCAACGCTTCAGTGAGCTGTGATCAGGCCACTGCATTCAAGTCTGGGCAGCAGAGTGAGACCCTGTCTCAAGAAGAAGAAGAAGAAAAAAAAAAAAAGCCTGTACTCCCAGCACTTTGGGAGGCTGAGGCAGCTGGGTCACCTGAGGTCAGTAGTTGGAGGCCAGCCTGGCCAACATGGCGAAACTCCATCTCTACTAAAAACATAAAAATTAGCCGGGCGTGGTGGCAGGTGCCTCTAATCCCAGCTACTGGAGAAGCTAAGGCAGGAGAATGGCTTGAACACGGGAGGTTGCATCACTGCACTCCAGCCTGGGTGACACAGCAAGACTCCATCTCAAAAAAAAAAAGAAGGGCTATGGCTCTTAACAGTACAATGGGGAATGAATATTAGCAAAAGGATCACTAGGACCTATATAGTCACCACACCAAAAAAAAAAAAAAAAAAAAGACCTACTCTAAATATATATATATATATGTATGTTTATATAACATATATAATTCGTATATATATGAATTATTGCTTTGCATTTCTATGATGTTCTTTTCTCACTTGAAAATAAGAGGGCCGGGCGCGGTGGCTCAAGCCTGTAATCCCAGCACTTTGGGAGGCCGAGGCGGGTGGATCACAAGGTCAAGAGATCGGGACCATCCTGGTCAACATAGTGAAACCCCGTCTCTACTAAAACTACAAAAAATTAGCTGGGCATGGTGGCGCGTGTCTGTAGTCCCAGCTACTCAGGAGGCTGAGGCAGGAGAATTGCCTGAACCCAGGAGGCGGAGGTTGCGGTGAGCCGAGATCGCACCATTGCACTCCAGCCTGGGCAACAAGAGCGAAACTCCGCCTCAAAAAAAAATAAATAAAAATAAATTTAAAAAAATAATAAAAGAAAATAAGAATAACTTTTCACTGCCTTTTTTTTTTTGAAATGGAGTCTCACTTTGTTGCCCAGGATGGAGTGCAGTGGCACAATCTCAGCTCACTGCAACCTCCACCTCCCAGGTTCAAGCAATTCTCCTGCCTTAGCCCCCTGAGTAGCTGGGATTACAGGTGGGCGCTACCATGCCTGGCTAATTTTTTATTTTTAGTAGAGACGAGGTTTCACCACATTGGTCAGGCTGGTCTCAAACTCCTGCCCACCTCGGCCTCCCAAAGTGCTGGGATTACAGGCATGAGCCACCACACCCGGCCCTTCACTGTTTCTTTAGAAATTAGGATAAAGTTCCTTGGCCTCTCAAAAAGGCAAAACGAAACAAAAAAACCCAAAATGCTCTAAGGCATGTTTGGAGAACAATAAAACAAGCCAGTTAGATGTGACTGGATTAATAAAATCCCAGAGTAGAGCAAGAAAGGGCTGTGTATTAATGCCAAGAGAATAACAAACAAAAGTTCAAGTCCTGCCCATAAGAACAAGAGAAAAGGCTCTTGGCGGAGGTGTGACTAAACCAAGAGGTAAAATCCAGCCCTCTGAATAGACTCTTAATAGGTTTAGTGGCTAACAGGTATTGAATTCAAAAGGAACTTCTTTTTATGCAACTTGAGAAGTGTTGGGATTACTTCAAGAGCAATTCTACCTGCTGGTGCTTGTCCCTCTCTAAGGGTGGCAAGGGAGGGAGCCATGTGGGCAGCAGGAACGGGTACACGATAGCATAAGAAGGAAAACAAAGGCTCTCTGGTTGGAGTTTGTAAGCTGATTGGGGGTGTCATTTGACCCTTATAGGTACATGTGACCCTTATTGGTACATTTTTTTTTTTTTTTTCAACTCAAGCCTGCAGCTCATCATGTCAAGCGCAGGGTGTCAGGACTGTGGTTGAAGATGAAGCAAGCAGCTCAGTGAAGTGTGCACAGCAAAGGTATGGAATTCACATGGGGCAGGAGTGCTGTCTAAACTTCTCTGCAGAGGTTAGGATTGAAGCTTTTGGTAACTCACCTGTACTGTGTACTTACAGTGAATGCTGAGGCTGTAACTTGGCCTCCTAGCAATGTGACTTAGGCAGGTGAGTGCACTGTAGGTGAAGACTTCAGCATCTTTAGCTTTTACATTTCTTTCTCTCACCTTCTCCCAAAAGAACTCAAACAAGGTTGTTATGGTTTGAATTGTGTCCCCAAATAAAATATGTTGACGTACCTAACTCCCTAGGACCTCAGAATGTGACCTTATTTGGAAATCGGGTCATTGCAGATATAATTAGTGCACATAAGATGAGGTCATATTGGAGCAGAGTGTCCTTATAAGACAGCTATGCAAAGACAGACGCACACAGGGAAAACGCCATGTGATGAGGAAGGCAGAGGTGGGAGTTATGCAGCTGCAAGCCAAGGGGATTGCCAGAGATTGCCAGCAAATCACCAGAGGCTATGAAGAGACACAGAAGGACTCCCCTGCAGCCCTGCTGATATCTTAATTTCATACTTCCAGCCTCCAGAACTGTGAGACATAATTTTTCTTTTTCTTTTTCTTTCTTTTTTTTTTTGAGATAGAATCTTGCTCTATCGCCCAGTCTGGAGTGCAGTCGCATAATTTTGGCTTACTGCAACCTCTGCCTCCAGGGTTAAGCAGTTCCCTGCCTCAGCCTCCTGGGTAGCTGGGATTACAGGCGCCCACCACCACTCCTGGCTAATTTTTGTATTTTTAGTAGAGATGGGGTTTCAGCATCTTAGCCAGGCTGGTTTTGAACTCCTGAGCTCGTGATCCACCTGCCTCGGCCTCCCAAAGTGCCGGGATTACAGGCATGAGCTACCTGGCCAAATTTTTGTTCTTTTAAGCCTTCCAGTTTCTGGTACTTTGTTACGGTTTATGGCAACCCTAGCAAACTAATACAAAGTCCTGACATGAGTATCTTGAATAATACTTCAGTAGATGTTCAGTATTTGTCTATTTACTGACGTTTGGCCAAAAAAGCAACTGAGTTACTGAGGCTGCTTTAGATAGTCAGTTTGCTGATCACATCTGTTACAACACTTAGCTTCATTTTGCCACAAGTATGTTCAACAGCCATCCAGATCTCAGACTACACAAAGAACCTTGCATTGCAGAATGAAATGTAGCTCAGGACTCTTCGACTGCAAACAAGACAGTAAGCCTGATTCTACATGTTTTACAATGTTTAGATACACAGGGGGATGGGCAAAAAAATTAGATACAGTATTTTTTCATATGTTTAGAATCTGAGGGCCAGGCATGGTGGCTCACACCTGTAATCCCAGCAATTTGGGAGGCTGAGGCGGGCAGATCATCTGAGATCAGGAGTTCGAGACCAGCTTGACCAACATGAGGAAACCATATATCTACTAAAAATACAAAATTAGCCAGATGTGGTGGCACATGCCTGTAATCTCAGCTACTCAGGAGGCTGAGGCAGGAGAATTGCTTGAACCTGAGAGGCGGTGGTTGCGGTGAGCCGAGATCACACCATTGAGCAACAAGAACAAAACTCTATGTCCAAAAAAAAAAAATCTGAGTTTGGACTCAGACAAATAGAAAAAATACCCATACCCTATCACTTGTTTTTTAAAATTAATATTATTTTTAATTGACAGGTCATAATTGTATACATTTATGGGGTACAGTGTGATGTTTTGATATATGTATACAAGGTGGAATGATTAAAAGCAAGCTATTCCATCACCCCAGTTATTTTTGTAGTAAGAAATCTGAAACTTACTCTCTTAGCTATTTGAAATATACAATACATTATTATTAATTATAGTCATTCTGCTGTGCAATAGAGCTCAAAAACTTATTTATTTTTAAGGGAAACAAATGTATCCACCTTTAGAGTATCATACAGAGTAGTTGCACTGCTCTAAATATTCTCCCTGCTCTGCCTATTCACCCTTCCCTTCTTTGTGTGTGTGTACATGTGTGTGTGATATACATGTACATATATATGTATGATGGCATCTTGCATATAAACCCCCATCTATGTTGGCCAAACTGGTCTTGAAATACTGGGCTCAAGTGATCCTCTTACCTCGGCCTCCCAGAGTGTTGGGATTACAGGCATGAGGTACTATACCCAGCCCTTCCCTTCTTCTTAACCTCTGGCAACGACTAATCTTTCTGCTATCACTATGGCTTTTTCTTTTCCAGAATGTCAAACAACTGAAGTCATACAGTATGTAGGCCTTATGAGAGTTACTGCTTTTACTTAGTCACATGCACTTAAGTTATTGCCATGTCTTTGTGTGGCTTGATAACTAATTTTCTTTTTAGCACTGAATAATATTTCATTGTCTGGATGTACCAGTTTGTTTATCCATTCACTGACTGAAGGACATCTTGGTGGCTTTCAAGTTCTGGCAATTATGAATAAAGCTGCTATAAACATCTTTGTGCAAGGTTTTTTTGCGGGCATGAGTTTTCAGCTCATTTGGGTAGAGCTGAAATGTGGAGTGCAGTTGCTGGATTGTATGGTTAGTGTGTGTTTAATTTTATAAGAAACAAACTGTCTTCCAAAGTATCTGTACCATTTTGGGATTCCACCAGTAATGAATGAGAGTTCCTGTTGCTCCATATACTCATAGCCATTTGGTGTTGTCAGGGTTTTGGATTTGAGTCATTCTAAAAGGTGTGCTGCTTCTAGGAATTTAAGGTACATTTAAAGTCCCACATGTGTAGAATGATAAATATATACAAAGAAACTTTCTGAAATATTGTTTGTAATAGCAAAAGACTGGAAACTGCTTTCCAGCATTAGTGCATTAGTTAAATAAATTGTGGTATGCCCAGGCAATGGAAGATAATGTGATCCTCAGAAAGAATGAGGCAGCTCTATACATGCTCACTTGGTACCATACCCTAACATGTACAATGAAAAAAGCAAGGTGCAGGATTGTGTGTACAGCATGCTGTATTGTGCACACAAGATGAATAGGCAAAGCACATATTACATAAATATGGCCATATTTGTGTAAAAAATTAAAAATGTATAAATGTCCCCATACATGCTCTTATATTCATGTGTTCAATGAATGTCTTTGGAAGGATACACCAAGACCTCTGGGGAGAAGTAAATAACTGAAGTATAAGAGTATGTGTTCCTTTGTAGCTTTCAAATTTTATACCATTTAATCAAAAATAAATAAATTTTTGATTAAAAAATTCAAAAATAATAAAAGATAACCTCCTATATATTATAGAAAAAAGGGAAGAAATGTGTGAAGGTATCAAGGTATTGCCTTAAAAATACAAAGATTTCTAAATGCCAAAAGAAAATTTAAAAAATAGAGCAAAGAAAACACATCACATGGGCAGAAACACAGCAAATAATTATTTACACAGTAAAATTTTAACACAAAATAAATGGTAATGGGCTTAATCTATGAAATTATTTCTAATTTGGCTACAAAACAAGACCAACTATATTCTGTATGTAAGAAAAAGGCTAAAAATAAAGGAATAGGGAAATGAAAACAAAAGAAAATGAGTGCTGTGGTCTTTTTTGGGGAGGATGAGGGGAACAGGGTCTCACTCTCTCACCCAGGCTGGAATGCAATGATACAGTGATGGCTCACTGCAGCCTCAACCTCCCAGGCTCAAGTGATCCTCCTGCCTCAGCCTCCCAAATAGCTGGGACTATAGGCAAGCACAACTATGTCTGGCTGCGATTAGTTTTTGTATTTTTTTGTAGAGGTGGGGTTTCACCACTATATTGCCCAGGCTGATCTCGAACTCCTGGGCTCAAGTGATCCACCTGCCTCGGCCTCTCAAGGTGCTGGGATTACAGGCGTGAGCCATTGTGCCTGGACTGTGCTATGGTCTTAAATATCAAGGTAGAACTTAAGCCAAAATGCATCAAATATGAAGAAGTACATGTTTTAAAGTAAAAGTCACAATTACCAACAACGAGCACATTTGGAAGGAAAAAGAACAGGAAATGCAAGGAGAAACAAGCACACTAACGACAGGATGCATTAACGCGTCAGTCTTAGAAGACAGACCAAGGTGGCCCAAATGTGAGTGAGGACATAGACAGTCTAAACAACAAAATCAATAAGGCAAAGTTTATGGATATATATTTAACTTTATACCCCCATAATAGAATTCACGTGCAAATAGAATGATCACAAAAAAAGATCATGTATGATGTCACTAAAAAGCATAAATTTCATAACACACTCTATGACTACAATGCAATATAATTCAGAATTAAAAACAAATCAGAAAATAAAAGCACACTTAACACCAGAATTTCTTAAAAACATGTTTCTATTAAACAACTCTTGAATGAGAGGGAAATTATGAAGAAAAATTACAGAATTTAAATAACTAAATTATAATTTAAATACAGGTTGAGCATCCCTAATCCAAAAATTTTGAATTTGGGCTAGGCATGGTGGCTCCTGCCTGTAATCCTAGCACTTTGGGAGGCTGAGGTGGGAGGATCACCTGACATCAGTAGTTTGAGTCCAGCTTGGCTAACATAGTGAAACCCCGTCTCTACTAAAAATAGAAAAATTAGCTGGGCATGATGGCAGATGCCTGTAACTCCAGCTACTTAGGAAGCTGAGGCAGGAGAATCGCTTGAACCTGGGAGGCAGAGGTTGCAGTGAGCCAAGATTGGGCCACTGCACTCTGGCCTGGGTGACAGAGCAAGACTCCATCTAAAAAAAATTAATTAATAATATAAAATTTGAAATGCTCCAATATTCAAAACTTTTTGAGCATCAACATGAAGCCACAAGTTACCCTGAACATATTATTTTTTTTACTGTTTTGGGTTTTTTTTTTAATTAATTTTTTTGACAGAGCCTTGCTCTGTTGCCCAGGCTGGAGTACAGTGGCACAATCTTGGCTCACTGCAACCTCTTCCTCTCGGGTCAAGCAATTCTCATGCCTCAGCCTCCTGAG